TAATTTCATCCTTTATAATTTTTAATATTTTAAATTTAATCCTTATTCTTTTGATTATTATTTATTTTATTTGAAATTATTTAATTTTTTTAACAATTTCATCCTCAATTTTTTTTCCATCAAATCTTACTCTCATTTTTTTGTTGCTATTTTTTTGTTTTTGCTTTTGAATTTTTTTTATCAATATTTTTTTCACGGTTTTATTCTTCAAAATTAAATTAGTTGGACTTGGAAATTAAGTTTTTTAATTGAACTCGGGTCTGGAATTTCACGGGTTGCGAGTTTTAAAAATTAGACCAAGTTTAAAAGATTCTTTAATGTTTGTTTTTTGTTTTTTTTTTTAAATGATATTTTTTTTATTTTTAGTTTTGCTTTGTTATCTTTTATGATTTATCTTGAATAGGGTTAGCTTTATCAAAATCACTAGTTTCAAAGTTAACATAAGTTGATTTGTTTTATTAATTTTTTAAATTAATTTATTTCAATTTCATCATTTCAAATATTTTTCCTTATCTTTTTCCATGTGAGATAATCCCTATTTTATGTCCATGATTGCAAATCATGAGTTCACCTGATTTAGTATAGTTTTTTATTGTTTTTTTTAAATTTTTTTAACATTTTTATTTTTTAATATCGAGTTTTGATAATTTAGATGAGTTTAGATCTAATTTTATTAAATTTTTTTATGTTTTTATTTTTTTGATTATTTTGTTTATGTTATTTAAATTAATAATTAAATGAATAAATATAATTTTTTTACCCTGCAATTCTTTTTTTACATCTTGAAAAAAAAAAAAACCCTGCCTGTGGTGGATAGCAAGCAACGAATATACATGTACTTAATAAAAAAATGTTCCCCAACCTATACACAATTTATTTTTTTTCATTTTTAAGTCGAGGCCCCAGTTTAGATTCTGCATATCGATTAAGTTGATTTCTTGGAAGCCACCCTAGGAAAATTGGACTCAATAAATACATGTACTTCGAAGGAGGAGGCCTATTCATTGAATCCTTCCTGTTCAAGCCGAATATCTTCTTCTTCTTTCTCTTTTACAATTTCTTCCTCGTCAATTCTGTCATTTGATTCTGCCGAAAGAGTTTTAAACCTTCCTTTCCTACAAAATTTCCAATCCCGGAGAAATCATGCTTACACTAGCATTTTAACGGCCTTTTCTTTTGGTTGAGAAACACTCTAATTCCTTCGTCTATAACGTATTATCTCAAGAGGCAATATAAACCCGGGGTGAATCATGGCAGAAATCACAACATACTCGATGGAGCACAAATTAGGTTGTGGCCCAGAATGGAGAGCTTTCCTACGCCGGCATATGTGGCCGAGAAAAACATCAGTGCATTCACTGCCAGCAGAAAGCACCAACAATATCCTCGGCCTGCCCAGTATTGATAATAATTCAGAGAGACAGCAAAGCAAACCCCAGCCTGTCGTCCTTGATTCCTCCCATTTGCCCAATTCTTCTACACAAGTAGAAAAGAAACAGAAGAGTTTGCATCGTTCAAGGCCTTCGACTTCTCATCAAAACAAAGAAGGTTCAAGTTCGGGGGGGATCAAAGTGTCACAAACCAATAAGACTAATCTAAGAAGGGACTCCAACAAAGATTCCAGAGAGCCTGGCAGGATTGTCATAACTAACCATCAAAAGTCCAATGACAACAAGGTTCTTGTTCGATCCACTTCTGGCAATGTAATGTTGCTAGGTCATCTGGGCAACCTAAGACAGTCAGGGAACGGGAATTTTATAGGGAATAATAGTCCTAATGCTACTGTTAGGACTGTGGATTACCTTCTCAAGAACCTTCAAGAGGCAAATTTATCGTCCAGACCTAGAAATTGCTACAGTAAACCTGGCAGTAATAGTGTTATGGGGAACATTTTGAGGCAGCCTAGTGGTGAATTTCGGCAGGGACAAGGTCTGATAACCAGCATGGATCCTGAAGTTTTAAAGAATAAGGGAAATGAGAGGTACAAGCAGGGACGATATGAAGAGGCCTTGGTTTGGTATGATCGTGCAATTTCTCTTGATTCAAATAAGGCAACATATAGAAGTAATAGAAGTGCAGCTTTGATAGGATTAGGCCGTCTTACAGAAGCTGTTGTTGAGTGCAAAGAAGCTATTAGGCTCGATCCTTCTTATCAAAGAGCCCATTACCGTTTGGCAACATTATATTTCAGGTCCGCCTTATTTGATTGCCAAGAGAGTTTTGTGCACTAAACAGCTGACGAATTGGAACTTGTGTGATCTTGCTGCTTTATTGTATAATAATGTGAATTTCATAATGCAGACTGGGAGAAACAGAGAAAGCTCTGTATCACTACAAACAGTCAGGCCCCAATACTGACTCCAAGGAAGTTGCTCAAGCTCAGGCACTTAAAATGCACCTGAACAGGTGCACTGAAGCTCGAAAACTAAAAGAATGGAATAGATTGCTAACGGAGACCGAGCGCTCAATTTCCTCCGGTGCTGATTCAGCTCCACAGGTGAGCAATCTTGGACCTTTTTTCTTGGTATTACCATGGAAGAGGACAATGGCACTAGTAGAATTGTATCTACTGCCTGTAGTTGTGGAACCTGTAATGCTTAAGCAGCTTGCTTCTGTTTTACACTTAGGTTTATGCGATGCAAGCCGAGGCACTATTGAGGCTCCACAGGCATCAAGAAGCCTACACGGCCTACCAAAAGGGACCGAATTTTTCTGTTGACTTTTATACCAAGTTATTTGGTCTGACTATAGCACCTTATATCTTAATGATCGGGGCACAGATTTACATGGCTGCGGGCAGGTTGGTAAACTCATTTGAGCTATTTTAAAAAAATAAATATATTTTAATTAATTTTTTTATTATGATATTTTTCTAGAAAATAATATTTTTTTTCAATTCAATATTATTAGAATTTTAACTTGTAACAAACTTATGCATGAATTAGGCTCTTGTATCCTGAATTCTTCATGTAGAATGTGTCTTGTCCAAGCAATTGTTAAACAAGAAGGAAAATGTTGTTCTTTTGGGCCTTTCCCTTTTCTTTTCGTAGGGTTTTCAAAGAGATATGCTAACAAAAGGGGATTGTTGTTCTCGTTTACTTTTTCTCTGCAAGATGCTCTTTGGTCTTTTATTTATTTAATTAAAATCACATTAACAAGCTAAATGATGGCATTCTGGTTTTCAAGTTTATTTTTGTAATATTAACAAAATAATTATATTTTTTAACTAGTGAATTTAATAAATACTTATCATAAAATTAAGCTATAGTTGAGATTATGGTTGTGATTACTTTGTTTTTTAAAGTATTTTTTATTTATTAAAATAATATTTTTTTAAATAAAAATTATTATTATTATCCGTATATCAAAATTATTTAAAATTATTAATTTAAAGTAAAAAAATTAAAAATAATTTTAAAACATAAAAATAAACTGTTATAATAATATTAATCAAACTTTTTGATGTTTAATAGGTTTGAAGACGCTATGGCTACAGCTCAGCAAGCAGCTCGACTCGATCCCAGTAACGGGGAGGTTAGCAATGTGGTAAAGAGTGTCAGAGCAGCAGCATCTGCTAGATTGAGTGGTAACTCCTTATTCAAGGCATCAAAATTCACCGAGGCATGTATCGCATATAGTGAAGGCCTAGAATACGACGCTCACAACTCAATTTTGCTCTGCAACCGAGCGGCCTGTAGGTCCAAGCTTGGCCACTATGAAAAGGCTGTAGAAGACTGCACTGCGGCTCTCAGTGTACAGCCTAATTATAGCAAGGCCAGGCTAAGAAGGGCGCACTGCAATGCCGAGGTAAATTTTGAGTATCACAAATGACTCGAGGTTGTTGAAATTCAAGCCATCGTTCTAATTTCGGTTCAATTTATTTATTTATTAATATTTTTTCATGCTTAGCTGGGAAGATGGGAAGCTTCGATTCAAGATTTTGAGATGTTGATAAGAGAAAGTCCAGCCGATGAGGAGGTGGGCCGGGCCTTGCTTGATGCACAGGTTCAACTTAAGAAGCAACGTGGTGAAGACACCAAGGACCTCAAATATGGTTCAAAATTCTAATTTAGTGTTGGTTTCCAGTGATCAGACACTTTGTAACTTCACCTGAAATTTAAGCATTTGTTGGCGGGTGCCATGGACTTAACGAGAAATACGAGGCGTTTTTATTTGACGAGGAAAACAAATTCTTATGAGTGAAATGGAGCTTCAACTCCATACCCGCTTTACAACCCCTATCCCCTCTTCTTCTTCTTGTTTTTTTTTATGGCATGGACCGAAATATGATCGCTATCCTTGAGCCAGGAGCGGGATCAGTAAATTTGACGTGGCTGAGCCATGCACTCCTTCAGTTCCCCTGTCTAACTTTTGGACCTCTGGTGGAATTTTACTTAAGGTTCTTCTGTTTTCAGATGAAAATTTTGCAGAACATTCGTATTCTCCGCCAAAAATTAACTTGGATAAGCTCATTCTGTGACAAAACGAACATTCAGGGGAGACAGGGAATCTGGATCCAATTGCATGTGACTCTTCGATTGTCTCGAGTCTACATGGACACATGACATAAACGATACGAAGCTGGTATATTCCAACTATCGTCATTATCTATGCAATTCAAAAAAGCCCTACTAAAGAGCATCAGATGCTATTTAAAATAGTAAAATTAGTAAAATATTTTTAAATAGTATAAATATAATTTTTTATTTTTTTAATTTATGCCTCATCCAATGATAAAACTTGTTTTTTGAAAAAATCAATTATATTTTAATATATTTAATACATAACTATTTTAATAACATGGTATAATTTAATTGACGTAACGGATCTAAAAATAACCCATATAATTCTTAATCTATTAAATATTAAATATCAAAATTAATTAAATAAAACAAAAAAAAACCCTTACCTGCTCTGATAAACTTTTATAATAAAAGTCAGGTCATTGAGCAAATAATCTTAAAATAAAAAGCAAAACAACATGTATTTAAAAAAAATCAAAGGAAAAAAATAGGAATTGTTGCCTTTTGCTACTGACGTTATTATACATCGAACGTAAAAGAAAATTTGACATCCCCTGTTTCAGAAGAGGAAGAGAAATTTGTGCTGTGGCTGTCCTTTTATTTACAAAACAGGAATCGTCCCTTTTGACCTTTTGAGTTACTCGTTATTTCAGAAGAGGAAAACAAGCCCGTGCAAGCAACCGACGTTGCTTTCACAAAACAGGAATTGTCCCCTTTAGCTTTAGCTTTGAATAGGAAGGAGAATTTAACTCCCCCGTGTGCCTGTTTCAGAAGAGGAAAAGAGATAGTAAACCGACCTTATTTTCATAGAACAGGATGTATTAATCAACTTCAATAATTTTGAAAGGAATAGTAGAAAAGGTAAAAAGTAATTATTGAACAGAGGGGAAGTAATTACTTGGCAGGGACTAAGTAAAATGGAAAATGTAGCAGGATCACCAGGTTCATGATCATCTCTTCCAACTTCTACTTCTTGCTACTGTATCTTTCGTTCCACCACCAATCCATGTTTCCTCAGCTATATCAGTTGAAAGTTTATAGAAATCTGTATCATAGCTCATCATTACCAAGTTCTCTTTTTTACTGTTTTTTCCTTCTTCCTCCATTAAAGCCTTCAAATTCTTTCCTTTCTTCTCTTCTTGCTTCCTGTCTTTCTCTTCTTCTTCTTCTTCCAGCCAACTCTTCGCCGGAGCAGACCTACACCTCATAAGCAGGAGAGCATTTGGTGGTGGAACAGAGGGCGCAGCTAGAGACTCATCATTGCAAGACCTCTCTTTCTGTTTAGCGTCTTCTTTGAAGAACCCAGTAGTGCTATTCTGATTCTCTTGCAGCATCATGAACCATTTAGAAAATATGGTTCTTGAATCCTCTTTGTCAATTCTTCCATCAACACCAACATGGTTTTCTTGATATTCCCCGTACTCTTCATATTCTTCTTCATCATTACTGGTGATATCTGATTGAGCTGGAAAGGAACCAAAGCATCGAAAATCGAATCTTATGTTTCTTAAACATGTTAAGAATTGCATTATATCTTTCTTGAATCCCAGTGAGTCAAGCCAGGTTGATTTTTTGGTGCTTTTCCTGCTGATGTGAATCCTTTCAATCTCTTCCATGACTGATTGCCAGTTCTTGCAGGAGCTTGCCTTGTGTCTGACTTTGATCTGCCCAGCGCATGTTACTTTTGGTGATGTTGGTTCTGATAACTCCGAGTCCATTTGCCTGGTTTTGGTCCATAAGAGAGGACTGGCTCGGCTTCCACCACCCCTAGGGCTGGATTTCTTCAAATGGTGGGGCCGTTGTTGTCGGTGGGGGGGGCGGTTCTGGTGGGGTTTGCTGGGTTCTAATGGCCTTGCAGGACTGCAAATGGGTTTGGGCATTAATGTTAGATGGGCTCTAGAAGGAAAACATACTAACAGATCTGCTGATGGAGCTCTCCTGCTTTCTCTTCCTTTCATTTTGATTTTTTTTCAGCTTTATATGAACTAATAACCCAGACCCTATCGTTTTCTTGAGCTTGATGACCTATATGGTTTTTTGGGTTTTGATGGGTCTGTGCAGAAGGAAGGTTTTAAAAGAAAGGTTGGGAGAGAATTGGCAGCTTTCGAATTCTAGCCTCTCTTTTTTTATTAGTGTCTCTCTTTACCATCAGTCAGTTCATTTTTTTCTAACACTCCTTTTTCTTGCCCTTTGCTTTTCTAATGCTTGCCTAACTTATTTAAAAATTTAGTAAAGAAAGATGGATAAGAAAGTTGAAACCCACGAGCCCTGTTTCATGAACCAATCATACCCACGACTCGTGACTTTGGGAGCCATTGCCAGTTGTTACTCATGCTATCTTGGCTAGTGCCCTCGTAAACTCCAATGCCAGCCCCTCTTCATATAAAACAGCTAGCTTTATGCTTGTTAATTAGTATGCACTGCCATATTATACCAAAAGCTCTCAACTTAATTAAACTGTACTAAAAACCAAGGTAAAAGCACAGAAATTAAAAAAAAAAATGTTATTTTAGAGGGAGGCAGGGGATGTTGATTTTTTACCGGGAAAAAAAAATATAAAAAGCGCAGCACCGAAAGTTTCATTAATGGTGAAAATTTGGATTAATTAGTAAAGTGAGTAAGCCATGATGAAGGGATGCAATGCACTTGAGAGCAGGGGGAGATGGCCCCCTCCAATCACCACACCTTGCGTTACGATTGCTTTATCTTTATTTTGATAATTTTATAAAAAGCTTCTTCTTTTTTTTCAAATTGTTCACCTAGTTTTTGGCCATGTTAGTTATCTTTAGCTATCCTGTCTTTTTCTTTCTGTATTTGTTGGTATAAATTTGATCACGATTTTAGGGATGACAACCAAGTAAACAAGAGATGTTAAGAGTTGTGAGATATGCTGAACAAACTCAAGCAAGAAGTATTAACTCTACTTGAAATTAGAACGGAGGTCTTGAAGGAAACTTTGAAAGGTGATCACACCTCCTTGTACATAATGGAAATATAGTTCTAAGGGTCGATATTCTTTTTACGACGCTAAAGCCATAAATTATATGGCGCAAGGTGGATTAAAATAGGAAAAAAAAAGTACTTTAATGTAGGAAAAGAGTTGAACTGCATCAAACATTATTTGTTGAAAAAGAAGAAGTTAAGAATTGGAGTTCTTTGCCAATGTATGTTATGATAAATGTGAATTCGAATTCTTTACCGGTTACAACGTTTATTGAAATGATGAACTTAACAAGAAGAACGATGATAGTAGTAATGATAGCCATGAAAAACTAGCAACTGAGTTTAAAAATTCCTACAGGATAGAATGATGCAGGAGTTAGAATTGTGGTATCTTTCATACAATTAAGGTTTTTCTTTTAATAGTTTAGTTACATAATATTTATGATAGTTATTTGAATGGCTAATATTTATTTATTTTTAAGGGAAATGATGATTGATTTTACTTATATAAAAAAAAAAAAAAAAATGCTCTCTTATGTTCGGGAAATGATGATTGATTTTACTTATATAAGAAAAAAAAATAAAAATGCTCTCTCTTATGTTTATTTAGAAATGTAATATCGATTATTTTTTAAAGTATTTTTATTTAAAAATATATCAAAATAATAATATTTTTTTAAAAAAATTATTTCTTAGATCAACATGTTAAAATAATTTAAAAATATAAAAAAATAATTTGAAGTAAAGAAATAAATAAATAAAATTTAATTTTTTAAAAAAACATTTTTGAAATGCAAAAAGTCTAAAAAACTAACTTTTAATTATGTTAACTATCTTTTATCTTATTCTTTCAACATCAATTTATCATTGTTAATACCAAGTCATTTGTAATTAATTATTAACGAAATAAAAAATTTGTTGATTCTAATTATATTTCTTCAATTCATAATTGTCTAACCTGATTTAGAACCCAAGCCTAATGCTAATTATATTTGGTGAGATATCGACAGTTGAGAAGGAGGTTGTCGCTACTGGATTTTCTAGATTGCTTTTTTCTTTTTTTTGCTAGGGTTTTTGCTAGTTTATTTTTCAAATATATTTTCCTTTCAATCTCTCTCTCTCTTTGTGTGTCTCTTTTTCTATTTATATTGTTTGAGATCTTCCGTAAAATAAGAAAAATTAATCTGGTAAAATAATGTTAGGCAATTATATTGTGTTCTTCTTGACTATGAATTTTTAATTAATTAATTCTTTTTTCTTAATGTATAGGATCTCCTTCATTAATTTTTCAATTTTGTTGATCCTCTCATTTATTTATTTTTCTTTTTTGCCTAATCTCTTATTATTATTTTCCCTTTGTTCTCTCTTTCTTTTATTTTACTCTCTCTTTCTCTTTCTCTCTTTTTTATAATCATCATAATTAAAATTATATTAAATATTGAAAGATTAAATTGGATAAAAATATAATTTTTCAAAACACGTAGAAAAATTAGAGTTAAAAAAATAGGTAACGAACAAAAACTATTTTCTTTGCCGAACAATGAATTAAACCTCGTTGATTCATCTTGACCCTCCAAACATCAAGCGATCGATGCTAAAAAATACAGGCTGTAATAAAGGTCCCATAAGCAAAGCTCCTTTTCAAGCAAAAATAGAAGAGAGGGGATCATGCCACTTAGTTTATTGGTCTCTACTTTGTTGTAGAACCTCACGACTTTAAGAAAGGCTAAAAGAGAAAGCGGGACAAGCAAGCTAAGCATGCTGATTTAGCAAACTAAAGTAGCATCTCATGATATGGCAGTTCCTTTTCTTTTTGTCTATTCATCATTGAGACATGGTAGGGTTTGAAGGAGATGGTTAGAACTTAGAAGTGGAGAAGCTTAGTTTTAAAAACCGATACCTTCCCTAGCTATCTTACATATCTTCATGAGTGGCAGCGTCTCTATCTTCTTAGCTTGTGGGTCTTTTCGCTTTTTCATGACCTAATTAATTTCATAGCACCAGTTTGTCAAAAAGAACTTGGTTTAGGTCATCATCAAATGCCCTTAACCAGAAGATGGAATATAGCCTGAATTAGTTGAATTCTAACTGGTTGCTTTAAGAGGAGACAAATGATGGCATTCGAAGGATTGAGCAGAAAGAATCTAGCTATGAAATGCATTCAAACACACATGCTATCAAGTAGGATAGTTCCACACTCAATGCATTTATTATATCGAGTAATTATGATCATGGGGATGCATAATTAGGTGCGTGTGGATTAGACTCTGCAATATTCAATATTATTTATTAATTTACTGGAATTCATTTCATTAACCAATCGAATACTTTTGGCCCATGGGAATCCAATCCACCTGCTAATCGAGTAGCTTCAATATTAAGAGTACTGGGTCTAGTGTAAATGTAGCAGAAGGTTCTAGGAACAAAACCACCAGGAGCTTTCAGGGAGGAGTTCATTTGAGAATCATTGGCGATCACTTTGATTAATATTTTCCGAGTTAAATAATGGTGATGGAGTCCCATTTCGCAGGGTTCAATGGCTTTTCTTGTTCGCTAATCTTTGTTCCTGGTATTATGTGTTCTTACAGCAATGACAAACATGGATGGTGCAAGGCCCTACGTGCATATATAGTGCGATCCCATTGTTAAATCATGATCAATGAAATGAGAAGCAAAATCCAATCATCGACTCAAGAAAATCTGATGAATCATTGTTTCTCCCTCTGTTTAATTTAATGTGGAATCTTGCTGACATTTTACTTGCAACCTTCCGCGGACATGAGAATTGGTTCTGGACAGCAAATTAATGGGCTATGATCGGCATAGATCGGATGGCTTGAAGCCAGCCACGTGTTGATTCTCAAAATTCTTATAGTTTTAGGTCTATATATATATATATATATATATATTCGTTTAAAGAAATAACATTTTTTTTAATATTATATATCTGTTGTTATAGTTTTATTTTCTTTTATAAGAAAATCTCACTTTAAGCCAAAATAAAATATAATAAAATAAATAAATAAAATAAAAAATATACTCATGTATGATATTATAAAAAAAACTTATTGAAAAATAAATTATTATTATTGTTAAGCCATTCAAGTGCTGTTACTTTGATTATTTTTTTCCCTCATATTATCACATGTATTATTTCTCATTAAAAAAGAATTCACAATAATCTAAATGGGTTGATAGATAAGGCAAGAGTTAAGTGAATATAAATAGATGTGCTGGTTGAAAAAACAAGACTTACTTTTTATAATATCATATATCTATTATCACAATTCTAACCAATTTAAGATTTGACATAGGAAACTAATTGAAAAAACAAAGATTTGGAACAGTCTCCTTTCTCTATCGCAGTTATATTGTGTCTCAACATCCCACCTCTCAAGACCTTTCCTTGCTGATTCCCTCTGGTTATTTATTTTTTTGTCGGAAGATTTTCATTAGATTTTAATGAGAATTTGATTGGCTTCAAAGTTCATGGCTTTTAGCAACTTGATAATCTCGAAATATAGGAGAACCATCCAACTTAATTATAATAATTAAGATCAAGTCCTCATACATTGCGAGTTGGAGTTCTTCTAATTAGTCTCATGTCCTTTTCTGCTAATGCTCTTGTCCTTTGATTTGTTCATGGCACAGATATAAATACTTGACAAGAGATTTTTCTGTTTGAACCACTGGCTCAACTTTATCTTAGAAAATGACTTGATTGTCTTCAAGCTCTCATTTGGACGTACAATTAGGAGCTATGGAAACACTACTTTTACGACAGAACAAATGCCTAGTGAAGAACTGGAAAACTGATATCTTTAACATGAGCTGCCGAGCTTCTCCTTTGAGAATCCTAAAGTTGCACCCTTTTATATTATTTTGTTAAATTTGGATAAGATTGGTCAATTTGATCCAAAAAACGCGGTGATTTTATTACATAATCGGTTCAGAGTCATGGTAAAGGATTGAAGATTAGGATCGGCGAAGAATCTGATCCATACTCGAGTGATAACAGCTAGGCTTTGTGCACGTGGCTCCAGCAAGAGACAATAGGCCTTTGAAAACCAGTGCAAGCGTGAGCTGGGTCAAAAGTCATCTGGCTGTACTCGTCCACCGATCGCATTCAACTCAAAGTCAAAAAAAGAGTCTAATTGAAAATAAGTCATCAATCCACCGTAACCATTCATGAGCCTGATTGAAAATAAGCATGCAATCCATCATAGCCGTCTATATAAAGATGGATTGATTAGCTGTCCTACTGCCGAAGGCATCCTAGGATCTTTGGTTTTACGCCAAGGAAATCCTCGGAATAGTTTTTGCCGCAAATAGATTATTGGATTGAGCTGTTTAGTTGTTACTGCTTCTGTTTTTTTTTTTTTTTTAAAAAAAAGAGTTTAAGGCGGAAAATCAACCTCATTCCTTCAACCAAATCTATCTCCACTGGAGATGTACAGAAGCTATCACTTACAACCCCCCCAGAAGATGGCATGCACTCATAATAATTAAGACTTACAGTATCATTGATTATCAACCTCCAAGTTGATAAACAGAGAATCGCAAGCAAACCATTAACCACCACCAGTTTGAAGCAGAAAACAGATCAAATTCAATCTATAATAGAAAAGGAATAAACTTTCCTAATGGGCACCACTGAAATCAATCCAATCAGCCCCATATATTCTCATCTTGAAGAACGCAAACCAAAATCGGTTCAAAATCAATTCGGCAACAGGAAACCATATGGGAATTCAAGAAACCCAAACTAAGAATTTCTCTTCAAATTTATTCATAAAGGTGATCTAGAAGTCATTACAGAATGAAGACAAACTACAATCCAGAAATCATATCCGGATTTCTCAAATCGAAGCTAATTACTCAAGTTGTTTGATGATGAGGGTTTACAAAGAAATGATTTATGTGAGCATGTATATGTATGTGAAAAAATAAATAGTGAAAGTTGTTTGGGTGGAAATCTAGAAGAGAGAAATATGGGAGGAGCCACTCCAGGCATTGATGTTCTTTGCTTTCTTTTCTGCTGGTAAAAATTATGATTTACTAATGAATGAGAAAAAAAAGAAAAAAACTAATAATTTTTTCATCAACATCATCTACCTTTCTAGAACAACATTACCCTAAAAACAAATATGATATATAAATCTTGGGTGTTAAAACAAAAGAGATGGTGTTTTTGTTGGTGAATGAACACTAAATTTGATGTGGGTATGGGAATTCCTTGAGAAAACCAACCCACTCAATTTTGATCATATTTCCTTTAATGAAAACTGTTTTTTTTAATTGATTTCGCTTGTAAAATTGAGGGGGCTGATTCGTACAAAACAAACATCAGGAGGCAAATTAAAACTTACCTTCCTGGAAAGGGGTTGGTATAAATTACATAATTGATTAATGGAGTCTAGCATCCAGACACCATACCTGTCATCTGCTAGAATTGGTAAATTGCCGAGACCCTCTCTCGCTGGAATTAATGTCTGCTAAACAAGCACATGCATTTTGGGACTAACAAACAAATTGGTAGAGCAGTGGAATTGAGTTTTTTTCTCTCTTAATACCACAATCAACAAAAGAAATCTGGAAACGACAAGTTTCTTTTATTATTCTCATACAATCACAATTTAATAGAGTTTTTGGGAAAATAATATTTAGAAAAGTTTTAAGGAAATAATACAGTTTGAATGAACACAACGGTTATTTTAAAACTATAACTCTTTTTAATTAATTAACAGATATCAAAATCAACTTTAAATTTTATAAATATATAATTGCTTCATAGATAAAATTCAAGATCTAATGATTAAGAAAAAAAAAAAAACCCTACTATAATAAGAGAGAAAACAAGGAAAGAAAAAATAAGTCACTGAAAACACACCAGGATTTTGTTTTTAACATACCTAATATTGTTAGAAAGATCTCAATGAGATCATTCTAACCACATCTTAAAAAATCATTAAATAAAATCTTAATTGGTTAGGAGTTAATTTAGAGTTAATCATGATCTTGTTTGATGATCTTTCAAGATGTAATTGGAATCGTATCATTAGATATTTAAAACGGTACTGAATATATCAAAAACAGAACTTCAATATATCCCCTGTAACCTATTCTCTCTTTTTCGTTTTTTTCCCTCTCATTTTTCTTTTCTATCATATCAGCTTATCTTCTTTCTTTCTTGGTTATTGTATCTTGAACCTTTATCTTTTGGTAATTGGATTTTTATAAATTTTAGAATGAATTTTATTCAAGTTAATTAATTTGTATAATATATGCATTTAATTTTCACTAAACAACCGCAATGGAGAATAGTTATTATATACAAAATTGATATTAAGAAATATAATTATGATTACACTATACTATTTTCAAAATCCTTTTCCAACGCATATCATTCTTCCAAAAATTTTACCAAACTATCATTTTTCAAAACAAATTCCTATAATAGTAGGAGAAGAAAAGGCGAGAAATAGCACAGTTGCGCCACTGCACCAATGACACAACAAAAAGACTAACACGACCTTGTTACTATACGTGCTGCTGGTATACTTGCTATACCTGCAACAAAGCTGTGGAGGTAGAGAAGAACAACCACCTCTTTTTCTTTTTTTTTGGTTTTTTCGCCACCTCAAAGTAGCGGGCACAAGCAACCAATCCTAAAAGTTTTGAATTAAAAGTAAATTAAACCAAGTGAAAATGACCAGATCGCCTAATCCAGCCATTCAAATTAAATATCAAACAAGAGATACAAATTCAATCGATCTGCTAAAATCTTCATTAACTATAGTTTTTTTTTTAAATCTAAAAAATATATACGCATAAATATAACCTCAATTATAAAATTCTAAACTCAAACAAAAAAAACCAACAGCAATTTTTTCTTAAAAAAAAAAAAAACATTAGAAGGAATTCATTTCCAACAAATAACTCTCATTCTTAAGAAGTACCTGTACAGCTTCTCCAAAAATCCCACCACCAAACGCACCTAATGCCAGCTCAGCATCCTCCACATCACCACCACCGTTACAAGGCCTTACCACCACCAGAGTCGCGCCTTCCACCCAAACTCCATCCTTCAACTGCACTCTTTGCTCGTGCCTCATCCTCATCCTCACACTTGGCACCACCGTCCGCTTCCCCTCCTCCTGCCAATCCGCTCCACGCGCCGCCATCCCACTCTCCTCCCTACACTCCCTCAACCCTTCCCTCCCCATCGCCACCGTTCCTTCCCCTTCTCTGTCCACCAACACCAAACTCTCCATCTCCCGATGATCCTTAACGACGTCGTTCAACAGATAATGCCTCGCCGATGCCGCAATCAACGCGCTTATTGTCCACACAACCCTTGTTTTTAAACCTCCCGCAAAATCAATATCCCCCTCAGAATTATTTCCCTCGGAATTTGCTACGCGGCGAAACCCGAGAACAACGCAGCTTTTCAACGACTTACCGAATTCAGCTCTCCATTTGATAACGGCTCCTTTCTCTAATTTCAAGTCGCCAGATGGCAGTTCGATTTGAAGGTCACGGATCCGGTCGAACTGGTTGAGGATACGAGCCGGGGAGTTTTGGGTTTGGTTTCGGGTTGTGGGTTTCGTGTCGGGTTTGAGGAGATCGTGGATGGATTTGAGGAGAGATTTAAGGAGAGTGAATAAGGAGCCGGAATCCGACTCGGGTGAGATGACGCAGTCGACTTTGAGAGAGAGGGATTCAGTTTGGGGGACGAGTGAGTTGAAACGTTTCGAAACGGAACGGCAACAGATGAGGGTCTTGATGTCGGAAATCGAGTTGAAGATGAGGAGGATTAAGGAGTCCGGGAGTCGATCAAAGCCGTTCATTGCTTCGACCATTTGATTCTTAGTGATGATCATTCGATTTGGATATAGGATTAGATTGGATTTGTTCTGCGTGGTGTTGATGCCCAGCTTTTGCTTTTTTTCTTTTCTTTTGTTTTCTCTTTTTTTATGGAAAGAAGACTTAAGAAGAAGGGAGAGTGGGGTTTTTCAGATGGAACTATGGTAACAAGCTTTGAGGATGGTTGTACGTTTGACTGTTGGAGGATTGTGGGACCCCCTTTACTATTTGTTTTCCAGGATAAAAGCCCGGTACTGGCTGATTAATTTAATTATTATTTTGAGCACTGTACATTTTCAACGTTTTAGCTGGTTGGGATCTACCACATTGAAGCTACGTGGCGCTAATCCTAGGCCCACAGCCAACTGTGATACACGGATACCGGGTATTAGAAACAACTAGATTTTATATGGCTTTTTAAAAGTGTAGTGCTAGCAGAGAAGAAAATAGCAACCATATTAGCTATAATGTATTTTTTTTGTTTTAAAAATATTTTTAAAAAAATATTAATTTTTTTTATTTGTTTTAAATTCATTTTTTAGAAGTTTTCTCAATTATTTTAATATATTAATATAAAAAAATTATATCAACACATTTTAAAATAAAAATATATTTTTAAAAGTAATTATTACAATCCACTCTAACACCACTAAATGTCTTGTAACTTTATGTTTGATTTAGCTGATTGGTTTGCGTTGTTTTTAATTTGACAGGGACAAAAGAATAAGGATATTTTTTTTTTTTTAATTTTGGGATAAGCTGGAGTTATATTTGAACGAAATTATGAAATCATTCGTTAATTTTATCTGCCCCGAGAATATCATTTGATTGTTTATGTCAGAGACACAATCGTCAATGATCATTGACTTGAGACACTGGCTTTTTCATGAAACGAGTGGTTACTCTCGTAAGGAGAATTATTTTGAATCATAATCATTGTTTAATTAACTGCGGAAGTCTTGAAGCATAACAATTAATTAGAGGCTATCCACGTTAAGTTTGTTTTTGTGATTCAATCGTATTTTATAATTTTTTAAATATTTTTTATTTATTTAAAATTTTTATTTTTTAATGTTTTTAAATTGTTTTTATGTGTTTATATTACAAAATATTTTTTTTTAAATATTATTTTTATGTATTTTTTTTTTAAAAATAAATTTTTTTAAAATATTATTTTTATGTATTTTTTTAAAGAATTAAAAATAATCATTACACCGCTTGGACATGTTTTTTGCCCTACCGTTCGTGTATAAAAAATCCCAGATGTATACTAATAGTATTCTCCATGATAGATTGATTGGGGAAAAAAGAAGAAGAAACCACCATCAAGCTGGAGCATCTTCCCCAATGGAGCGAAGCCCATTCAGGGAGGGGGAGAGAGATTTTGAGAAGTCATTGGAATAATTATATGTTCTTTTCGAATCCAAAACAAATGGTTTAACCGGAAAACATATGGCCCAGATAAAGGGTTGGGCTTTGGTTTCATTTCAGCAAAATGAAAGCCCAATATCCAGAGCAGCCTACTCTCGAGCACCTCTGGAAATTATTAAAGCCTAGTCCAGCCCAAGAAACGTCCAGAAGCATCCCCGAAACATTGAATCCCTGGCTGCCATTGGAGATCGAGAAAATGCCGCACGGCGCCCAAAGTTACCGTATAGCAAATACAAAATTACCTGATACATCTAAAAGAATCGGAAATAACGAAGTCCTGACTTTCTCTTTTTCATTTTCAAACTATGTTTTTTCTTTTAGTTATATTCTTTTATGGATTAAGCTTGGAGTTATGGTAAAAATATTAAATTAAAAAATAAATAACTAAAAAGTAAAGTGGAGAAAATCCATGACTAACACTAAATTCAAAATAATTTTTATTTTAGTATAAAAGTTTATTTTACTCTATTTTTAGTCCCTATATTAGAAAAATAAAAAAGAAAAAAAATTATCAAAAAAAGATAGAAGAGAGATATATTATGACAGTTTTAAAAATCAAAATAATTAAATTTAATGTTAAAGAATTATATTCAATGTGAAAAGTTTAATGATAATGATTTTTTACTTTTATCTTTCTTGAAAAAATAGATTAAACTTGAGAGAATCTTCGCTTTCGTTTTATTTTGGATTTCTTAGCAAATTATGAGTGTTTTGAGTTGATAAATCAGCTTATTAATATTTATAAGATATTTATAATATATTTTTGCAACAAAATAGGCTAGATATGAAGTCTTGAATCTAGAAGTACCCTATCTTGATTTTCACCACCCTTTGATGATCAAAATATGAACTAACAAACTAGATGTTATTCACTCTTATAATTTTAAAACAAAAGGAGTAAACAACATGTCGTTTTTCCCTCGCAAAAAGAAAAACAATTAAACAAGGTCAAGAATGTGGGCATACCCTACATGCCTAAGCTTGCCTAACCTTTTTATGTTTGGCCAGACACGAGGCTTGATCCCTTTCTTATTTTTGTTTTTTTATTGCAATTTAGAAAAATTATTTAACATAATAACTCACTTACCCTTTTCTTAAATAATATTATAGATTTTCATTAGAATATTTATAATTATTTTTCAATTATTATCTGCAGAATATGCAAAACATTAATATTAATAATAAATGTCTCATGAATATTTAATATTCATTTCAAATTAAAATCTTATTTTAAAAATATATTGTGACGTGATTTTATCAAATTTAATCATTTTTCCCAGCATTTAATCACAAACAAAATATAGAGACTTTATGTTGACATATTTGTTTTTTAACTTGCATTGACAACCATAATTTTTTTTAAATAGTGATTTTTGTTAAATAGTGATTTTTGTTATGAAAAAAATGCTTCCACGAAAATAATGAAATGAAATTGAATTTAGATTTTAGAAATACATGTCTTCTGTGTATTTCCAATAGCTTGAATTCTTTTTTTTTTTTTATGATAACATTACCAATTGCTTTACAGATAATTATTTAGTAGCATTATATACGGAATTTCGATGATAATCTTCTCAATAATATGGAACAAGAAAAAATAAATATATTTATACTAATTCTTTTTTTTATCAAATTAATAATCCATGATAAAAAAAACAAGATATATTTAAAAAAAAAACAATATAATAATAAAAAAGTAGGAATTGAACTACAAATTTATTTTTGATGGAATTTAAATTATTTATAGTATAACAAAAAACAATTGAAGATCTCGTCACAAAATGAGATCAATATCTTAATATGTATTTTTACCAAAGCTTTCCAAATCATTTTTTTGTTGGAATCAACAATGTTTTTATTTATTAGCACATATAATTACAATTTTTTTTATTGAACTTGTTTTTAGTTTGCAATTAATTTTTTTTATAGTAGAAAAAACATTAACAATGTATCTTTTAAGTTGAAATTTGTTTTACTCCACTTCGTAACATAACACATGAATCAAATTAGCAGGTGTTTGTTAAATATCTAGGTATGGCGGTGTGTCAAGAAATGCATTCTATTTAGGATTCAACAATGAAGGATAAAGACAACCTACATTAGATAGTAACGAATTCAACAAGCAGCGTGTATCAATTTCATGTGAGTTATTGGTTCTCGACTTGGACTTGGAGGATAGATTTTTCAAGGTAAAAAACATAATTACAATGTCAATAAAGAATTAATATTTAAACTAATAGATTATGAATTATAATTATAGCAGTGTAGTGGATTGTTTCAATAGTTATGATTATAATTTTATAAAGAAAATGAGTGTCCAAATCATAAAAGCATAGTTGTGATAGTACCTCAATACACTAAGATAATAAAAATATGGGTCAAAATCACCCACTATATTCATATAAACATGAGGTGAACGTACCCCAATATTTCTTGAAAAGGAGGGGTGATAGTATCATGCTTTGTAACCTCTTATATTTACCTCTTAATAGGCTTTTAAGATCCTAGATGTATAAGATGCAATCTTTGTGTATAATACATATATTTATATTATATAAATTTTTTGTTTATGAAATTAATAAAGATTATAAGATTTTCTTATTTATATTATATTTTTTTTAATTTGTTTCTTTGCATACAACTAACTAATTGTAGAAATGTTTTTAGGCTAGTGAAACACATGATTGTAAGCTAATGCTAGTTAAAAAAACAAGATAAAATTTAGTTTAGTTGAGAATAAACTGTCAAACAAAATTTGAATTTTAAAATAAAAAAATTTAACCTTCTGATAATATCTATATAGGATTATGCTATAAAAGGAATAAAAAGTTCTCTGTTTTCAATTATGGTCTATCCTATTTTTTATCCATAACTTAAAGATAATATTATTTTTTTAATATTTAGTGTCATATTTTCACTTGATCGTATAGAATTAAGGTAATTGAAAATTATTTTATGTCAAAACAATAATATGTTCAATCAATACAGGAATATATTTCTATCTCGCATTTTAAGAGGACACATTAATTTCTTGCCTACGTTTTAAACTCAAAGAGCATATAGAAATGACATAGGTACGGATAAGACTAACATCCCACAGTATTTTAGCTTGTTGATTTCGATCTAGCTAACCGGAGAAGAAGTGGACGTCGATGGGAACGTATAATGTGAAATTAAAGGATAAGTTAAACTTTTAAGAGAAATATCTTGTTAAACTTTTAAGAGAAATATCTTGTCTTATCAGTATGAAGAAAATTAAACTACTTTTGAAAAGGAACAAATATGAGACGCGAGGCTGAGGTTAGGTTTAACACCATTGCCAAAGGACAAATTAATTAGAGATTAACGACAGTAAATTATAGTTGTTAAGTCATGAGTAGTACTGTCAGTGGCACCTCTTTTCAAGGATCCGAAGTTCGTCCTTGTATGAAGGTGGGTTTGGTTGAAAGAAAGCAAATTTTGCAGCCATTGATGATGGTACCCCTCGCATCTCTCCCTGTGATTCCTTTTGTTGCTCTTGCTCACTTGTTTCTTTTATTCTCCGCCATCGCTATGGAGGTTTTAGACCAAAAACATTCTACTCCAAAGCTTCCTACTACTTTATTTCCATGAACTCGAGGTAAATTGCAATGCGAAGGGGAAGGGTTGCTGGGTATTTAACATCCTTTTTACTGCGGGGATTGAATTGAAGGCTTGAATTGTTTGGTGTAGGGTCAAATAGGGTTAAAAAGGAATTTTAATGGCTAGTGGAAATGCCTAGCAACAACC